AATGCCGAGGTTGTGAGTTCAAGCCTCACCTGGAGCATGAGTCTTTAATTCTCCGTACTCATCACACCTGAAGGGGATTTTGCCACAAAGTGTGTGAAAAGCCTTCATGCTGAAATATGGAATCCTTTTCAGAATGGGAAACCACATAATGCATGTATTTGGTTGAGAGATGGTTAGGTCCCCAACTCAAAAGCCATAAATCATAGTAAAATATTACAAAGTACAGCACATACATTGTGGTCCTTCAATATTTGGACAGGAATGTCATTTTCAATGGTAGTAATTCCCACACAGTTCACTCCATATGAATATATAAATACCTGCATCCAAAGCTGATAGCCAGCAATATTACCATGAAGTACCTATATCCATAAAAAGTGAAATTAAGCATAGAGAACACCAAGCAAGCACCAGTAGCACAATTGGAAAGACGCAGGGTACTTTAAGGCAATTGACGGTGAAAAGAAACAAAGGTGGTGAGTCAAAACCTTACTACGAGAATTGGACTTTTACTTTCCACTGGAAAACAGTAAATTTTCTCAAGGCAAGAAACTCACCTACTTTTGTGGCCGAAGACACAATATCCAGCACCATCCATGCGCACTGTATTCAAAATGCGGGGTTCATTTTAATAACATATTGTGTGGATTTTGCTGGTTGTCTCCCTGTTTGCATGGAATTTCTTCTCATAATCAAAAGACATGCATGATGGGCCACCTGGAGAAATTAATATTGCCCATAGGTAAGGCTTTGACCAAATGTGCCCTTTCCCAGAGCCGTAATGGGGGTTTGTGCTCAGTTTCCTTTCTCAGCTGGATAAATGTATCCAGTGAAAAAAAGCTAGTAATTACAGTGCAGTTTGGGAGAAGACTTGGCCCAAGCAGGGACAGGGGGCGTGACAGAGAGGTGAAAAATTTCAGTCCATTTTAATGAGGTCAAAGCTGAACTTAAAAGACATTGTCAGTTTTGTTCTTGAAGTCATTTGGCTCATCTTTGATGCACTAATCCGGTGTTTCCCAAGCCTCTCCTGGAGTACCCCTTGTCCTGCATGCTTTAGATCTCTCTCTGCTGCAGCCCAGGTGATTCGAAAGATTCGCTTCTTATCAAGCAGTTTCAGGGGGTTAATTATGACCTGATCCTTTGAATTACCTGTGCTGGAGCAGGGAGAAATCTAAAGCATGCAGGACAAGGGGTACGCCAGGAGAGGTTTGGGAAACACTGCACTGATCAATACCCTCATTTAAATAGTTCCTAAAAGCTCTTACAGTAACCGCTGTGAGCAGGGATCGAACCTGCGCGGGGAAACCCCATTGGATTTCAAGTCCAACGCCTTAACCTCTCGGCCATCACAGCAACCTACACACAATTTCCAGTATTTAAATGCAATGATTGTGACCTCACAAGAAAATGTGCCTTGTCAGAGATGGCTGCACATCAGTAAATTCATTGAAATCACAGCATAGCACTGCTTCTTGACCTTGGCAATAAGTTGCAAGGAGGGAGCTCTGAGGAGACATGAGCAAGGAAACTTGAGAGCAACCTTCCCAGAACACTTTCAGTTGAAAGCCATGACGTCGGTCAACAACGACCGACGCTGGCAGCAGATTGACTCATGTACGATGATGACAAAGCGACGTCTTTTCTAGTGATACTTTTAAGGAAAGAAAGTCTCATGTCTCTATCTAAAAATACACAGTACGTCCTTGTTTCTTCTCTTCTTGCATGGTTCTTGCACGGTTTCCTGACGTCGCCCCATCAACGACGCCAATCCAATGTTCCTCAAAAATGTCCTACAAACTGAGGATCCCTGGATGTATCCTTTCAGGAAGTATTTTCACACGTTTGCATGACATAATTGTGTCCACTCCCACACGACTTGAGATCCCAACCCACTGAAGCCCATTAACCAATTCAAACTGTTCCCCCGGCTGAGGACAACATTTGACAGCACAAATGTAAGTTCAAAGCTGAGCTCTTTTTATTGACATTGCATTACCTTTGTATCAGTCTAAACATTTTTTTTTTGGAAAATCCAACTCTGTATTTCTTTCAACCTTGAGGAAAAAGCAAAATACAATCTTACTAAATTGAATATGACCCTGCGATTTGGCGCGTTGTTGCATATTTATTACACATGATGCAACTTCACGGATTCCAAACACATTTACTGTGCATGAAATTGATATTTTTGGTGGTCAATCAAATCTGACAGCCAAAAAGCCAACTTTGCAGCCTGATATCAGTATGCTAGCACCGCTTGTGATCTTAGGGTCTGTTTAGGAAATGTATTTTACTGGTAAACATAAGGGCTTATGTTATTCATGCCTAGCCAACATAATTTGACTTGTACAGTAGCCAGCTGGCTACAGAGCTACATTAAAACTAAGCTCACGTACAAAAATGCTGCCAAACTTCAAAGATTCCACTTTGGGCGACAGCTCTTTTATATTGAAAGGCTGCTCCTAGATCTGTGGTCTAAGATCTGATCAATCTATGATGTTGCTAACTAGCTAGCCAGCAAGCTTAAAAAGCTAAAACAGCCCAGTTCAAAGTTCAAAACAGCAACAAATGAGTGCAAATGATGCACTTCCTTAAGCAGCCATTGACTCTGTGAGAGTACCGAATGAATTTACACCGATGCTGATAAACCTAAACGAAATGTACAGAATTGGATACAGCTTTTAGATGTCAACGTTACTCGCGTTATCATCAGAATGAGGGCTGGGGGAAAAACTGCTGAGGTGAAAGCTAGGTCACAATTAAAAACATGCAGATACAGCATGGCAAAAACGCGACACCTTTAAATGAAAAGCGCAATCGGCCAGATGAGCAAGACTGATTTGCACAGAATTGAGTGTTATTTTGTGCTTTGCAGGCCGGTATTGGTAGTTAGCTGGCTACCCGTAAACGTGAAATGAAGGTATACGCAAGTAACGTTAGTGCAGTACACTTCAGCTGAGCCAGAAACACAGAACAAACATCGCTGGCATAACTACTGGTGAAATCGAGCTTTTATCAGATTTTGACTGAATCGCTAATAATTTTATTAACGTGCTTGCTAGCTTGGTTAGCAAGCCAACTCATAGAAGCAACATGCAGTCCCATTAGATTGTACAGGACCGTGCAATGCGGTGCTTTTTTGCATATGAATTTGGTATGATGCAACTTAACAGATTAAACCAAATTTTAATAAACTCATTTGCTACTGTATATCTGTTGATGTGCAAAGTTAGAAGATTATGGTGTCGCAAAATTCTTGAGATATTAAGTATGAGAGTAATGTGACTCACTCACTCACTCACTCACTTCCATTATGGTCATTTTAGCTTGCTATGGCAGAGAAAAATAAGGTCGCATTGCTTCACAGGCAATTTTTTTTGACATGCATGCTGCACTGTGCACTTATTAACCTGGTTGGCCCCAAGGTCTAATGATTATCACAGTTGATCAAGATGCAGATGGCTCTGATTTTGACCCCCAGAGAGCATGTTCTGGGTTATGAAGTCTTCTAGCTTGTTTTTGGTGCATTGATAAGTATCCCACAAATGGTTTGTCCTGAAAGCCTATAATGAAATCGCTGTGAGCAGGGTTTGAACCTGCGCGGGGAAACCCCATTGGATTTCGAGTCCAACGCCTTAACCTCTCGGCCATCACAGCAACCTACGCAACATTGCTGGCATTTCAAAGGCAGGATCATTACTTCATAAGGAAATGCATCTTCTGCGCAATAAATGGTTGCACATCGGGAAAAAGCATTGAACTGTTGGAAACGTGGACACCAATCCAAAGTTCCTTAAAATTGTCTTCCAAACAGAGGATCCATAGATGCATACTTTCAGGATGTCTACACTGTTTTAATGACTCACATGTCACTATTGGCATTTAAAAGGAAGGATCATTAATTTACTAGGAAATACAGCTTTCTTGCAATAGATGGCTGCACATTTGGAAAAAAGCTTTGAAATCACAGGGAAGTATTGCTTCTGGACCTTGGCAATAAGTTGCTAGGAGTGAGCGCTGAGGAATCATGAGCAAGGAGACACATGAGCAGCCTTCCCGGAACACTTTCCGCTGAGAGCCATGATGTCAGTTGATAACACATGTCAGAAAATTTGGGACGGGGGCAACAAAAGACTGGAAAAGTTGTATGATGTTAAAAAAATACATTTGGTGGAACATCTCACAGCTAACTAGGCTTCTTGGAAACAGTTCAGCAACATGATTGGGAATGAAGAGAGCATCCCAGAGAGGCCATCTTGTAGAAGTACAGATGGTGAGGGCTTCACCACTCTGTGAAAGAAAGTGTGGGCAAATAGTGCAAGAATTTAAGAATAACGTTTCTTGGCAGAAAATTGAAAAAAATTGGGGATTTCCTCATCAACAGTACACAATATCAATAAAATACTCAGAGAATCCAAATGAATCTCTGTACTCACAGGGCAGGGCTGAGAACCGATATTAAATGTCTGTGATCTTCAGTCCTTCAGCTGACACTGCATTAAAAACAGACAGAATTCCATCGTAAAAATAAGTGCATGGGCTCAGGAACACTTCTGAAAACTATTTAAAGTGGACAAAGTTGGTTGCAGCATCCAAAAACACAAGGTAAAATTGTACCATATAAACACAAAAGCATATGTAAAGAAGATTGAAAAACACTGCTGCCTTCTCTGGGCCCAAGATCATTTAAGATTGTCTTAGGCGAAGTGGAAAACTGTTGAGAGAAAATATTTCAGCAAAGGATAAGTTGGATATTTGTTTAGCTGAAGCTAGCCGAGAAGAAGCTGAATTCCTTCCTTCCAAGTGATAAAATGAAGTGCATTCTCCTAAAGGATGGTGGATCCAGACTGATGGCTTCAGTCAGGAGCAATAAAGCAAAGAAATGAGTTTCATATAAGAGACCTTCCCGACACAATTAGAAGCAAAAGAAAAAAAAATCTATCAAGGTCCATCAGCACAGTTTCTCAGCAATATGATCCCACATTGCAAATGTGTTCTCAGCTCCAGTGGTGCAATCGGTTAGTCGTGCGGTACTTATATAGCAGTATGCAGTGAAGCAATGCCGAGGTTGTGAGTTCAAGCCTCACCTGGAGCATGAGTCTTTAATTCTCCGTACTCATCACACCTGAAGGGGATTTTGCCACAAAGTGTGTGAAAAGCCTTCATGCTGAAATATGGAATCCTTTTCAGAATGGGATACCACATAATGCATGTATTTGGTTGAGAGATGGTTAGGTCCCCAACTCAAAAGCCATAAATCATAGTAAAATATTACAAACTACAGCACATACATTGTGGTCCTTCAATATTTGGACAGGAATGTCATTTTCAATGGTAGTAATTCCCACACAGTTCATTCCATATGAATATATAAATACCTGCATCCAAAGCTGATAGCCAGCAATATTACCATGAAGTACCTATATCCATAAAAAGTGAAATTAAGCATAGAGAACACCAAGCAAGCACCAGTAGCACAATTGGAAAGACGCAGGGTACTTTAAGGCAGTTGACGGTGAAAAGAAACAAAGGTGGTGAGTCAAAACCTTACTACGAGAATTGGACTTTTACTTTCCGCTGGAAAACAGTAAATTTTCTCAAGGCAAGAAACTCACCTACTTTTGTGGCCGAAGACACAATATCCAGCACCATCCACGCGCACTGTATTCAAAATGCGGGGTTCATTTTAATAACATATTGTGTGGATTTTGCTGGTTGTCTCCCTGTTTGCATGGAATTTCTTCTCATAATCAAAAGACATGCATGATGGGCCACCTGGAGAAATTAATATTGCCCATAGGTAAGGCTTTGAGCAAATGTGCCCTTTCCCAGAGCCGTAATGGGGGTTTGTGCTCAGTTTCCTTTCTCAGCTGGATGAATGTATCCAGTGAAAAAAAGCTAGTAATTACAGTGCGGTTTGGGAGAAGATTTGGCCCAAGCAGGCACAGGGAGCGTGACAGAGAGGTGAAAAATTTCAGTCCATTTTAATGAGGTCAAAGCTGAACTTAAAAGACATTGTCAGTTTTGTTCTTGAAGTCATTTGGCTCATCTTTGATGCACTAATCCGGTGTTTCCCAAGCCTCTCCTGGAGTACCCCTTGTCCTGCATGCTTTAGATCTCTCTCTGCTGCAGCCCAGGTGATTCGAAAGATTCGCTTCTCATCAAGCAGTTTCAGGGGGTTAATTATTACCTGATCCTTTGAATTACCTGTGCTGGAGCAGGGAGAAATCTAAAGCATGCAGGACAAGGGGTACGCCAGGAGAGGTTTGGGAAACACTGCACTGATCAATACCCTCATTTAAATAGTTCCTAAAAGCTCTTACAGTAACCGCTGTGAGCAGGGATCGAACCTGCTTGGGAACCCATTGGATTTCAAGTCCAACGCCTTAACCTCTCGGCCATCACAGCAACCTACGCACAATTTCCAGTATTTAAATGCAATGATTGTGACCTCACAAGAAAATGTGCCTTGTCAGAGATGGCTGCACATCAGTAAATTCATTGAAATCACAGCATAGCACTGCTTCTTGACCTTGGCAATAAGTTGCAAGGAGGGAGCTCTGAGGAGACATGAGCAAGGAAACTTGAGAGCAACCGTCCCAGAACACTTTCAGTTGAAAGCCATGACGTCGGTCAACAACGACCGACGCTGGCAGCAGATTGACTCATGTACGATGATGACAAAGCGACGTCTTTTCTAGTGATACTTTTAAGGAAAGAAAGTCTCATGTCTCTATCTAAAAATACACAGTACGTCCTTGTTTCTTCTCTTCTTGCATGGTTCTTGCACGGTTTCCTGACGTCGCCCCATCAACGACGCCAATCCAATGTTCCTCAAAAATGTCCTACAAACTGAGGATCCCTGGATGTATCCTTTCAGGAAGTATTTTCACACGTTTGCATGACATAATTGTGTCCACTCCCACACGACTTGAGATCCCAACCCACTGAAGCCCATTAACCAATTCAAACTGTTCCCCCGGCTGAGGACAACATTTGACAGCACAAATGTAAGTTCAAAGCTGAGCTCTTTTTATTGACATTGCATTACCTTTGTATCAGTCTAAACATTTTTTTTTTTTGGAAAATCCAACTCTGTATTTCTTTCAACCTTGAGGAAAAAGCAAAATACAATCTTACGAAATTGAATATGACCCTGCGATTTGGCGCGTTGTTGCATATTTATTACACATGATGCAACTTCACGGATTCCAAACACATTTACTGTGCATGAAATTGATATTTTTGGTGGTCAATCAAATCTGACAGCCAAAAAGCCAACTTTGCAGCCTGATATCAGTATGCTAGCACCGCTTGTGATCTTAGGGTCTGTTTAGGAAATGTATTTTACTGGTAAACATAAGGGCTTATGTTATTCATGCCTAGCCAACATAATTTGACTTGTACAGTAGCCAGCTGGCTACAGAGCTACATTAAAACTAAGCTCACGTACAAAAATGCTGCCAAACTTCAAAGATTCCACTTTGGGCGACAGCTCTTTTATATTGAAAGGCTGCTCCTAGATCTGTGGTCTAAGATCTGATCAATCTATGATGTTGCTAACTAGCTAGCCAGCAAGCTTAAAAAGCTAAAACAGCCCAGTTCAAAGTTCAAAACAGCAACAAATGAGTGCAAATGATGCACTTCCTTAAGCAGCCATTGACTCTGTGAGAGTACCGAATAAATTTACACCGATGCTGATAAACCTAAACGAAATGTACAGAATTGGATACAGCTTTTAGATGTCAACGTTACTCGCGTTATCATCAGAATGAGGGCTGGGGGAAAAACTGCTGAGGTGAAAGCTAGGTCACAATTAAAAACATGCAGATACAGCATGGCAAAAACGCGACACCTTTAAATGAAAAGCGCAATCGGCCAGATGAGCAAGACTGATTTGCACAGAATTGAGTGTTATTTTGTGCTTTGCAGGCCGGTATTGGTAGTTAGCTGGCTACCGTAAACGTGAAATGAAGGTATACGCAAGTAACGTTAGTGCAGTACACTTCAGCTGAGCCAGAAACACAGAACAAACATCGCTGGCATAACTACTGGTGAAATCGAGCTTTTATCAGATTTTGACTGAATCGCTAATAATTTTATTAACGTGCTTGCTAGCTTGGTTAGCAAGCCAACTCATAGAAGCAACATGCAGTCCCATTAGATTGTACAGGACCGTGCAATGCGGTGCTTTTTTGCATATGAATTTGGTATGATGCAACTTAACAGATTAAACCAAATTTTAATAAACTCATTTGCTACTGTATATCTGTTGATGTGCAAAGTTAGAAGATTATGGTGTCGCAAAATTCTTGAGATATTAAGTATGAGAGTAATGTGACTCACTCACTCACTCACTCACTTCCATTATGGTCATTTTAGCTTGCTATGGCAGAGAAAAATAAGGTCGCATTGCTTCACAGGCAATTTTTTTTGACATGCATGCTGCACTGTGCACTTATTAACCTGGTTGGCCCCAAGGTCTAATGATTATCACAGTTGATCAAGATGCAGATGGCTCTGATTTTGACCCCCAGAGAGCATGTTCTGGGTTATGAAGTCTTCTAGCTTGTTTTTGGTGCATTGATAAGTATCCCACAAATGGTTTGTCCTGAAAGCCTATAATGAAATCGCTGTGAGCAGGGTTTGAACCTCTTGGGAAACCCCATTGATTTCGAGTCCAACGCCTTTAACCGGCCATCACAGCAACTACACGCAACATTGCTGGCATTTCAAAGGCAGGATCATTACTTCATAAGGAAATGCATCTTCTGCGCAATAAATGGTTGCACATCGGGAAAAAGCATTGAACTGCTGGAAACGTGGACACCAATCCAAAGTTCCTTAAAATTGTCTTCCAAACAGAGGATCCATAGATGCATACTTTCAGGATGTCTACACTGTTTTAATGACTCACATGTCACTATTGGCATTTAAAAGGAAGGATCATTAATTTACTAGGAAATACAGCTTTCTTGCAATAGATGGCTGCACATTTGGAAAAAAGCTTTGAAATCACAGGGAAGTATTGCTTCTGGACCCTGGCAATAAGTTGCTAGGAGGGAGCGCTGAGGAATCATGAGCAAGGAGACACATGAGCAGCCTTCCCAGAACACTTTCCGCTGAGAGCCATGATGTCAGTTGATAACACGTGTCAGAAAATTTGGGACGGGGGCAACAAAAGACTGGAAAAGTTGTATGATGTTAAAAAAATACATTTGGTGGAACATCTCACAGCTAATCAGGCTACTTGGAAACAGTTCAGCAACATGATTGGGAATGAAGAGAGCATCCCAGAGAGGCCATCTTGTAGAAGTACAGATGGTGAGGGCTTCACCACTCTGTGAAAGAAAGTGTGGGCAAATAGTGCAAGAATTTAAGAATAACGTTTCTTGGCAGAAAATTGAAAAAAATTGGGGATTTCCTCATCAACAGTACACAATATCAATAAAATACTCAGAGAATCCAAATGAATCTCTGTACTCACAGGGCAGGGCTGAGAACCGATATTAAATGTCTGTGATCTTCAGTCCTTCAGCTGACACTGCATTAAAAACAGACAGAATTCCATAGTAAAAATAAGTGCATGGGCTCAGGAACACTTCTGAAAACTATTTAAAGTGGACAAAGTTGGTTGCAGCATCCAAAAACACAAGGTAAAATTGTACCATATAAACACAAAAGCATATGTAAAGAAGATTGAAAAACACTGCTGCCTTCTCTGGGCCCAAGATCATTTAAGATTGTCTTAGGCGACGTGGAAAACTGTTGAGAGAAAATATTTCAGCAAAGGATAAGTTGGGTATTTGTTTAGCTGAAGCTAGCCAAGAAGAAGCTGAATTCCTTCCTTCCAAGTGATAAAATGAAGTGCATTCTCCTAAAGGATGGTGGATCCAGACTGATGGCTTCAGTCAGGAGCAATAAAGCAAAGAAATGAGTTTCATATAAGAGACCTTCCCGACACAATTAGAAGCAAAAGAAAAAAAAATCTATCAAGGTCCATCAGCACAGTTTCTCAGCAATATGATCCCACATTGCAAATGTGTTCTCAGCTCCAGTGGTGCAATCGGTTAGCGCGCGGTACTTATATAGCAG